TAAATACCAAATAAATAACATTACTATTTAGTGTTTAACAAACATCTGAACCTCTGAGTTGGAAGCATATGAACATATAGTTATATGCTTTCCGGGAGTTATAATACTTACAAATAGCTACAGTGCAAGGTGGTGAGCCCCAATTAATGGTACAAAGTGCATCTCCATTGGCGCTCACGGGAAGGGGTGGCAATGGCAGGCTGCCTGTGGAGGCTTCCAGACTTTCACAGTTGGTATTTTCATGGGGGAGCCTGAGCATAAGGTAAGGAGTGAGAGTATCTCAGTCAGAGAGAAGGGATTCGACTTTCAGAGATGAGAAGTTCAAGGCATTCAAAGAACCGGTAATGGATGCAATAAGTCAGGGATCCCCATTCAGAAATGCCTTGGAGACGGGCCAGGGTGCCAGGGCCATTTAATGGGACTACCATGACTCAGCTCTAGCCAGTGTAGGCTCAGTGTTGGCGTATCTTTCAGTTATTCAAGAGACACAAGAAATCTGGACTCGTAGGTGAAAAGTTCTACATAGTAAAGCATGACAATGGTCAAATCCCACATGTCTGTGGCTGAGCTCAGATGGTGGGTGGTGAGCGCGTGACCTTGGAGTGGACTTGGCTAAGCATTGGGATTATAACAGGTGGAAAAGAGCCCTGGACTGGGACCCGGGAGGCCTGGAGTTGACCTGGGCTCTGTGACCTTGGACAAGCCTCTTCCATCTGCGGACAGAAACGTGGCCACAGTTTAAGCCTGACAAGCTCAGGAGACTGAAAATAACCACATAGGATGGTGTGAACATAAAAATTCCTAATTAAGGTGGGCCATGGCAGGAAGTCACATCCTTGGCCTGTAGATTCCTTGACAAAGGTAAGTCTTTACCTTAAGTGAGCCTATTTTTGCACCTAAGATAACATACCCTTGGAAGGTCAGAGTCATCCCTTCTTCCGGACCCCACAGGGGGCACAACCCCCCACACCAGAGCAGGAAACTATAAAATCCCTCATTGTTATCTTGTTTCCTATGTGCTGTGAAATATTATTAATTATCCTGTACCCACCAATGTAAAAGAAGTGTTATGTCTCGCCATTTTACTTTTTATCCAATCTCAGAGATTTCCCCGCTTTGCTTTCTCCCACCCCCTTAATCTACCACCCATGGATTTCACGTGACCCTCCTCCTTTGATTCTAATGTATAAAGTAAGTTGCAAAACTGCCATTTTCCAGAGCGTTTTCTCAATCCATTGAGACTGTCCTTCCCAGCAATTGTCAGTTTGGCTCAAATAAACTCATAAGCTTTCTCTTAGGCTGACTGTTTTTTCATCAACATACCCTCTGTGCCTCAGTTTTCAGAAAGCACTTTGAAAGAAGGTGTGGTTGATGAGAGCGAGCACCTAACCAAACCTCCGTCTTATAGAATACTTAAGTGGTTTCCTCCTTACTGTGCTTTCAAGGTCTGAAGAGTTATAATACTGGCCCTTGCTTGCTCGTTCACTCCCAACCAATGGATTTATTTTGTTACATTTTTGTAAAGGGACCATTATCTAGGGCTGAAAAGGGACACGTATCGCATACATAAATTAGCATATAGAGACTTGGGAATGGACAAGTGCCAGCACCTTCCAAAGAGACGTCCAGATGATAGGCTCCAAGACTGAGCAGTTTTCATGAGAAAAGTAAAGAAAACAGTTTCCCTCAGTGCTTGCCACAGAAAGGAAGATAAAGGAACTGGAGGGAGGATAAAAGTACCCCCAAAACATAAAAGATGCATTGATGGGAAATGCTGGTGCGATCACCGAGGCCGATAGGTGGAAAAAGTCACACTGTTAAAAAAAATTTTTTTTTAAAAACCCAACTGTGGAAAAAGAATGGAGCAAAGTCATGGAGAAAAGTGAGATCACATAAAAACTTTGAAGAGTGGCCTGGAAAAAATAAGGCTTTATGAGTTTAACAGGAGCACTCTATTCTTACTACCTGTGTAGAGTAATTGGCTTGGCTGATAGAGGTTTCTGTTGCCTTTTTGGCAGGAGCTGAATTGTTATGTTAATATGCTGCTGGGCTGAGTGTTAAGTACTTTGAATAGAAAGTGTTTTGCAGGAGGGAAAATTCCCAGCATCGGGTTCTTACTTTGACCACTGAGCTCTTTACAAACTTCAGACTTCATACTCAGATTCTAAGAAATAATTAGTATCATGCAGATACTTCCAGCATTGTGCGAAAATGAATAGAGTTTCCACTAGGGACTCTCTCCCATGGGTGGCTTACGGGCAGGCAAAGCGTATCCGGGCTAAAGTTTAGGCACAGTAGCCCACGTGGAATAAGGAGACCTCTTGTATGACATAACATCGCATCCCTGCACAGCTCCCAAGCGCCCCCCTCGTGCCCTTCTCTGGGCCATCTCTTCTCCATTAACACTGGCTTCCCTTTGGAGGCCCTTCCACTGACCTGGATCTACAAATATTTAATTGTCTTGTGCAGGGTGAGGCCAAAACCCTAAGGTACTCAGGTTGAAATGGCCTAATAGTCAATGCATTGTTCAGTTTCCTTTAATGTAAAAATTATTGAGTCATTGGATTATGTGTTTTCCTTTTTAGGAAATTCCAAAATTCCTAAGACCTCCTAGAAAATGATCTTCCTCGTGGTCTACTGCCTCCTGATTGCTGATTTCAGCTAGGTACCTATAGTATGAAAACTAAAGATTGAACTAATTTACACTAGCTTGTGATTTACCCACGATCCCTGACCGTCTTTAGGATTGCAATAATAGATTGCTTCTTAATTGCAGATGAGCCTGTAGCTGCAAATGCTCTCACACCTCCTCCAGCCACCCTGGGTCCCCACCTTCCTCAGGCGCTTCACTAACTTCACAGCAGCTTTCCTCACTTCCACTCCTATACTCAAGATTTCCCAAAAGTTTGACAATATGACCTTTTTTCATGATGTCATTTATGGCAATGAGCTTTACAAATCTAATAAAGTAAATCCATGGAAATAATAGAAAAGCTTTTGGGTCAGAAGATTCTAATTGAGCCATTTACTTCCCAGGAGCAAATTTGTCAACTAGAGCTATTAAAACTCATTAGGTCACTAAGATATCATGTGGTCAACCACTCTGATTCCAGAATATCCTCTGAGCCCTATTTCAACATACACATGTCAATGAAAGAATGTCCAGCCTAAGAAAAAGTCTTGTAAGAGTTTATTTGAGCCAAACTGATGACCATTGCCAAGAAGCAAATGACAATATGAGTACTTAAGCATAAATGATAAAATGCTAGTTGACTCCAATCTAAGGCCACTTAGCCCACCTTTGAAGTACCTCTTCTGAAACCCACACTCCAGGAAAGGTTAATTAGCATAAGTTCCCCAACCAGAGATGCACCACAGAGGTGGTTAACACAAAGCCTTCTCATATTACTCTCTATACTTACCCGAGGTTTAATAATTAGCATAAGTTATATTAGAGATCATTTGTAATTGAGCAAATGGATGAAGTTCAAGCACTGGTGTAGGATAGAAGATGCGTATCCACCCCTCTGCCTGTGCACACGTTGGGCATCGACTAGGATATGTCAGATCATGGGGGTGTCTGTCCATACTGCTCAGCATAGAGGTTGGGGCTGGAGGGTGGAGAGCGCCCCTCTTTCGTTGCCTGTGACAAAGCAGACTGTTTGTATGGGTTACAACTACTGGGGTTACCTGTCATGGGTGTGCGGAGAAAGACCAATGGGGGACAGGAAGGGACTCAATCCAGAAATATTGAAGGTCCCCTCTGGGCTCATTTGGGATCCTGTCATTCCACCTCTACGTTACCATATTAACGGTTTTCTCATTTAAGGGGCAGGGTTGGTATTCTCACCCATCAGACTGGGTATGCGTTGGCCCTCCCACTCAGCACACTTGGGGGACTCAACGGGTGATGATAATACTTGCGGTTTGATGTGACAACATGTTACTCTCAGATTAGCCCTCAGATTCAATGGTGAGCGCTTAAGTCTTTCAGCTTCTCATGAAACTACAGAGTATATCAGTCTTTGATGCGAAACGAAAGACTCGCCCCTGGAAAGCTGTCAGCTCACAGGGTGCCCCCCGTCATAATTTCTATTAAAATAAAACCATTACTTTCTTCAGCTTAATCATCAAACCTTTTGGTCTTAGCTACAAGGAGGACTTAGATTGTAATACAATCAGTGTCTGTCTTCTAGGGTGTTTCTGAGACAAGTGTCTACTCCGTGATTTTCAGCTGCTCAGTGGAGCATTATTACAGCAGGTAGTGTAGGCTCGATCAGTGTACCAGAGTGTATCGTGAAAATCTGTATGTTCTCGCTGCCCCGGTAAACTTCGATGATGCTGAAACATTCTATTTTGATTTTTAAATTGGGAAAACAAGCTAATGAGTGAGGAAGCATCACCTGTTAGGCACGTCTGCTTGCTCTTGAATTTCTTGTTTACGTGGACTGATGGTGGAATCGGTTGGCTTTTACAAGAGTGATTACAAGGGCTACTGGATTGCATTTCCTAAACAGGATCTGCAAGGCTTTCAATGCTTTAAAAAGCAAAGTTGGAACCAAACTGAGCTGTCTGTCAAGGTTTTCCTCCTCCTCTTCCTCCTCCTCCTCCTCCTCCTCCTCCTGTTCTTCTTCTTCCTCTTCCTCTTCCTCTTCCTCTTCCTTTCTTCTTCTTCTTCTTCTTCCTCTTCCTCTTCCTCTTCTTCTTCTTCTTCTTCTTCTTCTTCTTCTTCTTCTTCTTCTTCTTCTTCTCCTTCTTCCCTCTTCTTCTTCTTCTTCTTCTTCTTCTTCTTCTTCCTCCTCCCTTTTAGCAGAGATGAAATTGTTCTTGGACTCAAACTAACCTTAGATTGTCTAAGGGAGCTGTGGCTGGTGCCTTCAAAAAAGCAGACACCATGCTCCTTTGTTATATTGTTAATATTGATTCCCCCCCACACACACACCTTTATCTTGGGATGAGCAGGAGCACTGGTTAAGCCCTTTTGTCTTGTCTCCCTGCAGGCTTGTTGATTGGTGCTGGCTGTGCCCTCTACCCCTTGGGCTGGGACAGCGAGGAAGTCCGACAGACCTGTGGCTACATTTCCGGCCAGTTTGACCTGGGTAAGTTGGCACTCCTTTTAGAAAAGAGCCTGTCTGATCTTTCATAGAAGCAGAAGCTGGAAATGGGGTGGGGAAGAAAAACAGATGTGGGTAATGCAGCCAGCAGTCACGTGTAACAGGACCCATACATTTGTTTATCCTTCTGGCTAGTGAAGAGTTACTGATAGCTGCTGTTTGCCTGAGCTATGGAAAGTATTGTAGATACAAGGAAAAGAAATGACCTTGCTTTGAAGAGTTTATATTTATTAATTCATTCAAAATCATATATTTAGCACTCATTGCATGTGCTAAAAATAACTGTCTATGGAATTCACAGTCTATCTGAGAAGATAAAGCAAACAAAACTATCAACGAAATGACAGTAAGGACTAAGGACTCTAAAGCAATTTCACTCTAGGGGAATAGACACTTGGAAAGGTATAAGAATTGAGCTGGGTTTTGAAGAAAGTGATGCGTGGCAATTACCTGACAGTAGACGGAAACACCTTGCAGGTAAGGATTATGGTACAAGGGAGGCGTGAGAAAAGCTCATCCGGAGACCACAGACTCAGGAGAGATGTGATTACATAGGTGGGAATTCACACGTTGATGAAGGGCTCGAGAACTCTTCTGTGTACCAATCAGAAAATTTCAGATATTGTTCACTTGTAGATATAATATAATGTAGATATAATGCAATCTATATATTTTTTTGCATATTACTGCATGGTTTTCACCATTAAAAGTTGTAATGATGAGTTAATATTTCACTTGGTTGATAAACGTACATTTACGTTACCACTTTTTTATTTCTTTCTAGTTGGCCATTTAGACTATTCATTTCTGTTATTTAAAGACATGGTATAATACGTAGTTTAATGACTATAAGTCTTTTCCTTACTGGCGTATTTTCTGAGGATGTCTTTCTACAAGTAGTGTTACTAAACCAAAGATTATGAACCCATAAAATATTTATTGCCAAATGATAGAAAATATAGTTTCCCCTAATATATGGACAGATTAAGTTTTTGACAATTAGTGCATAATGAGTTACTCACTTAAATATATCCTTTTCACATTAAATATTTCACTCCCAGAAGAAAAATTTTGAGAGAATTGGTCTAATGGCAGTATTTCTATATCCCAAATTATTTTTAAAAGATTTTATGTTAGAATTTCTATGGAAAAAAATTTGTATTAGATACTGAAAAAAAATGGATGGATGTGATACCATATCAGAGGCCTGTGGATTTGAAAATGAAGCAATCAACCTTTGTTGGACTTTATGCTTCCCTCAAAATACACAGGCTCTTTGGGAGAGAAAATGGTGCTCTAGCTACCACCTAGTTTGCATGAACAGAAAATGAGAGATTTCCCTCTGTCCACTCTTCCCTCCTGATGACGAGGCTTTCTTAAATCTGGATTCGTTTGTGATTGCCATAAATGGACAGAAGGGGGAAATGCTGGCACAAAGTTGACTGTCAGCGTTTTGTTTTGTTTTTGTTTTTGCTTGTTTTTTGGAAAGCAAACTGTGTTCAGGGGAGGTATTTTCACAAAGCGTTTGGCATTTTTATTCCTCTGGTGTCTGAGGCATTCTTGGCTGTTTCATACAGGCCTAGACTTGATGAGAAAACTTCTTGCTGGTCTCTTGTTACTCTGAGTCGCTATACTAATTAACGGGTTATAATGAAACACAGGTCTTGTTTGCATTTTCATTACTGCACCCTCATGTTCTGTATCTTCTCAGCATTGTGGATTAAACATTTGAATGCCAAATTTAAGTTTAAAAAATAACAAAAACAACAAACTCTTGCCTCTTTACTAGTGGTTATAATTTCTTATGTTATTAAACTTGCTAAAGCCATTTTAGAAGTTTAAAAACTATCGTGTCCTTTTAAGTTTTGCTTTTTTATTAGTAAATTTCCCTTAGATTGCATCATGAGAAAAAACAAAACTGGCATCACCTATAGATAAAATGAGTTCGAAGGCCCTTAAAGAAGTACTTTGAGTTTATCAAGTTTGATTTCTCCTGGCGACATTTAATTTGTGCAGACTCTGCTATCTTTCCTTTCGAAAGGCCTGGAGAGGAACTGTGGCTAGACATAGCATTGTACCTAGCCCACCGAACTGCCTATGCTTTCAATCTTTAAAAAATCGTTACTGTTCCCCTGAATGCTGAGGAAGGCTGAACTCTAGTAAAAGAGAGACGTCACAGATGATGGCGTGATCGTGGGAGGGAAGCTAGGACCGGGGCTGGGAGCCACAGCGCGCGTGTGAGGGGAGCGTTCTCAGTAAGGGCTCTGAGGCCCGTTTTAGGTGGCATACCCACTGCTGCCTGTCGCCACACCCTGCCTCCGCCACTTTGAGAATCGGAGCTTTTCTCTGCCTCCTCCCAAAGGAGACAGTGTGTGGGCACATCTCCTCCAAAGGTGGGAAATGTTAATTAATGCCTGTGGACTATGGGCCACTTGCTTGGTGCGCCATCGCTGAAATGTTGTCACTCTCTCCAGAGCGCATTCTGAAAGAAATCATTGCTTTTGTTCCCACGAGAGCTTATTTAAGGAGTGCATTCATTCAGTTATTCAACCAGCAGATATATATAGGGAGCTTCCGTGTGCCAGGCCCTGGGCTGGGTTCTCGGGATATGGCGCCCGCTAGGAATTTTAAAGACACGATTCATGCCCTCAGGGAACTTAGAAACCAGCAGGAGAGGCAGATATTTAAAAAGATCATATACCTGGGAAGAGTGTCAGAAAGGAGCAGTGTCGGGCGTTGCAGTGGGCACTGTGGTGGCCTGACCAGTACTCTTGCGCTCTCGTTGGTGAGTCTAAACCGGGGTTGGATCCCGTCAGCCCCAGGGCAGCTGGTTAGGACCTAGGTCCATCTAAGACTCTGTACTGAGCAGCCTCCGTTTATTATCGTAGACTTTGCTACAGAAATGCTGCAGCTTCCTCATGGTGCCGTGGTGTAAAATAAGGTGGCAAGCCCTGTAAATTAATCTTGGTGACCCCACCTCTTAACAGTAGCTGGGGACAGGAAGGCTGAAGCCATTCGGGCCAGTGAGACTGGGGAGATGCTTCCAGAGCCTTCTGAGGAAGAAGCAGCACATGCCTAAGGGAGAGGCACGCAAAGCCGTGCTCTCCCTCCCTGTGGCCACCGTCTCCGAGCAGCGGGGGTGGCAGGAGGGAGACCCTGGGTTGCAGAGGTGGGCAGTTGCCCCTGAAGCAGGCCTTCCCTGTGGGCATGTCCAGCTGGCATGGAGGGTAGGCTGCAGAGAGGGCAGCGAGACAGCCAGGAAGGAGACCGAGTGGCACCCTGCAGACCCGACTTAGGGACTGCATCCTTGTCCCAACAGGTCTGAATTCTACGTGTCAGCCATGGAAAATGTAAGACTTTAGTTTAGCGAAAGGAGGTAGGGCCTCCCAGGAAAGAACATTGAAACTGAGTCCAGAGATATAAGTAGCAGTTAGCAAAGAGGAGCTTCATAAAAGTTCACCTTGTGGCTGTAATGTAAGATGGTAGGAGTCTACTAGAAGCTATTTTTTTTAAATGCCTCCTTTCTTTAGAAAGGCAATTTGGGGACTGTTTCTTGTTTTACCTCCCATGAAAACAATCTTGTAAGGCTATGGATTATTTCTGAAGCATTGAATGGTGGCAGAGCCTTGCCACAATTTTGCAGAAATACCCATGTTTACAAATAAAAGATGGTTACTCCGCTTCTCTTTGGATCACACTGATTTATGAAGAACCAAGGAGCAGGTTTGAATGCACAGATTTTTAAAGCAGGGAGAGTCCAAACAGGCTGCACAGCGAAGTTCTGAGTCCCCCGCTGAAATTGTGTCGCTTGCCTTGACAGTAGCTCTCAACCTTCAGCATTAGAATCGGAAGTAGACTTGTTAAGAATGTGCATGTTTCCTTTCTGTGCCCCAGAAATCATGATTCTGTCATTTGTATTTTCAACAGATATCCCTGTGACTCTGGTACAGGGATCAGTGACTGTACTTTGAGAAAACGGCCCTAATTTATATAGAAAATGAATTTTTTGTTCTTTAGTAGAATTCAGTTTAACAAACATTTATCTTGTTTTATATAAATTAGGTGGCTCTAGCTTTAGGTTATAAAAATCCGACTCCACCTGGCTTAAACACACAAAGAAGACATTTAAGGGCCCTGCTTACCGTAAGGGCAGATCTAAGATGCGCTGCAGCCCTGGCTGATTGGGGCTCAAAGGTGTCGTGCATCCCAAGTTGGTTTCATCCCGAGGCTGGTTCTCCCTTTGGTCACAAGGTGACCGCATTGGCACATGTGGCCCTAAGCATCCTTGTTCATGTCAGACAGGAGAGGGTGAGCTTCTCCTTTTGTGTAATGGGAAAAAACCTCTGTCTTCAGTCAGTTGGGCCAGTTTTGTCATGTGTCCACTCTTGCACGAATAACCCCTCCCAGGGAATTCCATGTACGAATTGGCTTCTCGTGGTCCAGCGTGGACGTGCTCAGAGTTTTACAGACCCAGGTTTACTGAGAAGCAGCGGAACTTGTAATTATAAGATGAGACTAAGAGGAGAAAAGGCATCTTGGTCTGTTTTTTGTTGGACTTTCATCCACCATGAAGCCTATAGTTGTGGTGAGTGATGGTTTATGCCATGTAAGTGTTAACGATGGTGATTTTATTTATTACTTTATAAGACAACAAAACAAGTTGTTAGACTAATACGTAATGTAGCACAGCATCTTCACATAATAAAAGCCCAATAGATGTTTGCTACTATTATCATATTATTTGTGCAGGGCCATTTTGAATGAATGTTGCTGATCAATATTTATTCTTCCTTTTACATTCCATAACTGTAAGTTTGGATTGACACATTAAAGCATAAGGTCTTTATAATCACGTTGTCCAATTGATTTGATTCATGCCTCAGAGATATTTTCATCTACCAAAGGCTCTTCTAATTATATCCTTATGATCAAAAGTAGTGTTTCAGTTAATTTATCTTGCTAATTTGCCAAGTGAATTTGAATAA